GGGCCCGAGCCCGCTTCGTGGAGGGCCGCGGCGGGGAGCCGGGCCGGCAGCGCATCCCCCCCCCCCCCCCCGTCCCCGCAGCCGGAGGTCGACCAGAGGCCCCGGCGGCGGGAGAGGGGTCGCGCGGAGGGCCCGGGGCCGGCCGCCGCTCCAGGCGCCCGCGGGGATCCGGGGCCTCGCCCCGCCCCCGAGGCCGAGGGTTTTTTGGCCTCAAATCGGCGCTTTTTGCCAGCAGAGTATTGGTGGCTCCTCTTGCTGGGCGGAGCCCCGCGTGCTCCCTCGGCGCTCTCGGGGTCTGCGCGCCGGCCAGGGCGCTTGGAAGCGGCGCGCCGCGCGAGCAAAGCCGGGCACCCTACGCGGTCTCCCGGCGGATGCTGCCTCTGCCTAGCAGCGGGGCGAGCGTGTCAAGAGGAGCGCAAAGAGCATCGCGGGCTCCAAGCAGCGGGCGGGGCTGCTGAGCTTCCTGGGCGCCCGTCATCCCCACATCCGGCATGGTGAGCTCTGTGGCCTGCACCGATCTCCCTTTGAGAGGGTGCCCTGCGCACAAGTGGATGTGCAAAGGGGCAGTGCCCCAGGCCTGAGCCTCCTGCCTGAGCTGTTGGTGACGTCTTGTCCTCAACGGCTGGATGTTTAGTCGCGTTGTCCAGTACAGCTTTGTGGTTTTGCTGTTTCTTAGTCTTCTCTGGCCTCAACCCATCTGGAATGCATGAAGGTTCCTTATTCTTTCTACTCCTGATGCTCAACAAGCAGTTTGAAGTGGGCACCTGCTGCATGTGCCCTCCTCTCAATGAGGTATCCTTCCTGGAGAGTTTACTTGTTGGGGTGCCTATCAGGGCTGCTTGCACTGCTATCTAAAGGACCCCTATAGTTTTTCTTTTTGTGGCCCCACATCTTTCCGAGCTGTGACTGTGCTGAACTCACTGCATTGCTAAGGTCGACCAGTGGGACGGGAATGACTCCACAAGCTGATTTGAGTAATTTTTTTTTGGTGTTGGAAGTAAAAAGCCCTAAGCCATGCCTAAAAACTGGCCCATCTGGTCGACCCCAGGGTGCACACTAAAGCAGTGCTAGAGTCTAAAAGTGGTGGGAACACCACTGCCCCAAGACTCAAAATCAGGCACAGTCCTAAGGGGGATGGGTGCTCTGACATGGGCACCACACAAGGCCAGGAAGAACGACCCCCATGCCTCTTGGTGAGCATCATAAGAATGAGACTGTGTCAACCACAGGGCTGGCCCAAGGCCATCCCTCAGGGCCCTGGAGCCCATGGAGGCATCTTCACTGCAGACACGCATCCACCAGGACACCTACATCTTTCCCGCCCGGATGCGGCACATTCACAGCCAGGGCAGCCCCTTCTGCACATCCACTTGTGCGCAGGGCACCCTCTCAAAGGGAGATCGGTGCAGGCCACAGAGCTCACCATGCCGGATGTGGGGATGACGGGCGCCCAGGAAGCTCAGCAGCCCCGCCCGCTGCTTGGAGCCCGCGATGCTCTTTGCGCTCCTCTTGACACGCTCGCCCCGCTGCTAGGCAGAGGCAGCATCCGCCGGGAGACCGCGTAGGGTGCCCGGCTTTGCTCGCGCGGCGCGCCGCTTCCAAGCGCCCTGGCCGGCGCGCAGACCCCGAGAGCGCCGAGGGAGCACGCGGGGCTCCGCCCAGCAAGAGGAGCCACCAATACTCTGCTGGCAAAAAGCGCCGATTTGAGGCCAAAAAACCCTCGGCCTCGGGGGCGGGGCGAGGCCCCGGATCCCCGCGGGCGCCTGGAGCGGCGGCCGGCCCCGGGCCCTCCGCGCGACCCCTCTCCCGCCGCCGGGGCCTCTGGTCGACCTCCGGCTGCGGGGACGGGGGGGGGGGGGGGGATGCGCTGCCGGCCCGGCTCCCCGCCGCGGCCCTCCACGAAGCGGGCTCGGGCCCGACCCCGCCTGAGACTCGCGTCCTGCGGCTCCGGGACCCCAGGATTCGGCCACGAACTCGCGGCTCCGCCCGGGACCCCGGCTCAGTGCGGGCTTCGCCCCGCAGCTTGCGGGTCCCTCCCCGGCCCGGACCCCGCGACCACTCAGCGCCCCGGTCTCCCCCGCGGCTGCAGGATCGCGACTCGCCCCTCGGTCGCCTCACCCGCGCACGCCGTCCCGGCGCCGGCTCCGGACACGCCGAGCTCGCGCTCCCCACCCGCAGCGCTCGGCCCCCAGCCCCCGGCCCGCCTCATGGGCCCCTGGCCCCGCGTCTCCTACCGGAGACTTGGGGCGAACAGTGGCGGCACCTCCGGCCTCCGGGCACGGCGGGGGCGGTGGATCAGGGCCCCGCGGACTGCGGGGGCCTCGGGGCGGGCCGGGCGTCCGGGCGGGCTGCAGGGTTACCGGGCTTGCTCGGCACCTCGGGCGCGCAGGGCTCCGTGTGGGCTGCGGGGCTACCGGGCGTCTCGGCAGCCCAGGCGGGCGCGGGCCCCGCGGGGAGCTGGTCCACCCGCGCAGCGCGCAGGCCCCACCCCGGCGAGCGCGCCGACCGCCTCCCCTGCAAACCTGCGCCCGCGATCCCCCGGCGTCGGGCGCCGCGCGCACAGCCCGCCCGCCCGGCCCGGCCCGCCCGCGCGCCCCGGCCTCCCGGAACCGCGCGCCGGGCGCCGCCGCCAAATCCACCCCCTTCGCGGGGGTGTGCGGGCGGCAGGCGCCCACGGCCCCGCTCCCCCGCCCGGCTGCCGGGGAGACGCCGACACCGGGCGGCCCGAGGCGAGGGGGGGGGCGGTGGGGGGGGGTCGGCACGCGCACCAGCACGAGCCACGCAAGGGCGCGGGACCCGACCCGATGGCCCCGGCCCTGGGAAGCGGGGGCGGAGACTGCGGGGGTCACGCCCCGGTTGGCCGGAATTGTGGAGCGGGTGTCGGCGCCCGCCTGGGGGCTGGGGGGCGCAGGGGTTGCCCTGAGGTCCGGCCTCCTGCCGGGCGGCCTTGGGCGGCGTTGGCCTCGGGCCCACCCCCCGGGTCGCTCCGCTCGCCGGGCGGCGCCAGGCCAGGACCCCCGCTGACGCCGAGCCTCTTAAGGTCCCGGGCGGCGGGGAAGGCGGGGCCCGGCCCAGCACAGCACCCCGGGTTGGAAGCGCAGGAACCCGTGGTGCTGACGGGCTGGAAGGGGAGAGAGGGCGACCATGGGCCGCCACGTGCCCGTCCGCGTTTTCGTTTGTCCGTCGGGGTGACCGGCGCAGACCCGCGCGTGCCGACGTGAGGAAATCACCCCGGTAAGGAGTTTCAAGTGGAAGCCAAGTGAGGGGCGTCCCGAGATCACGCATCGGGAGGGGGCGCTGACTTCCTGCGGGGGAGGCCTGGCTCTCGCCTGAGTGAAATCTGCCCCTGGAAACTGGGGTCTCATTTCACTCGTTCAACCACCCAGCTGGCATTTCCTGAGCACCTACTGTGTGCGGAGGCAGGGGCGGGGGGAAATGTGGGCGAGAGGGAGGAGCTGGACTGTGTGGTTATGACCCTGGGCTCCGGGCCTGAGCGCGTTCCGCTAAATAGTCCAGCACAGCATTTCTTGAGGACCTAGTGGGTGCTGAGCCCTAGATGGTGTCTGCGGCCCTGGGAGGAAACAACTGGGCGTTGTCCCTCAACTTTGAGGACTCTAGGGTGGATGCTGGGTGAACTTGCATTCAGCTGTGGGGGAGGGGGGTGGGGGGGGGCTTCGTGAGGACCTACTGTGTGCCAATGGCCAGGCACAGGAAAGAACCGGAACGCTTGGTTTCTGACTTGGAGGGCCCCCAGGGCTACAGCTGTGGATGCTCACCGTGCATCCATTCACCCTACAACTCCTGAGGACCCACTGTGTGCTGAAGCCCAATTCCTGACCTGGTAGGCACCAGGGCCAGGCCACCAGGGCCAGGCTGGGGCTTTCCCCACTTACTCATTTCCCAGATGTTTTCTGAGGGCCTACTGTGTGCCAGGGCCAGTGCAGGTAATGCCAGACCAGAAGCAAAAAGTCTGACAGCCCCTGGTTCCTTCGCAGAGCTGAGCTGAGCTGAGCTGAGCTGAGCAGCTTCCTGGGTCTGGGTTCTCCTCCTCCAGCTATACACCCGCAGATCATTGGCTTATTTTCAAATAAATCATGTTTTCCAAACTTTTGGGGGTGGAACAAGGAAACCTGAGTATGGCCTGGACAAGGACATGAAGAGATTCACTCTGTTGGGATGACACTGCAGCTGTGTAGGAGATGATTTTGCTTAGACTCGCAAGCGAAGGAGTTTACTAGTGAAGTGAAGCCAGATCTTATAATTTATTTCAAAATAAATTCGGAAACGTAGACATTTCCATGACCTATTTCAAAAGCAGTTATCTATTATAAGGCCAGTAAACTCTTGTTTTTCTTGGTGGTGCTTAAACTTTCAAAGGTGTTGGATTAGGGAATGCATCACACTTTAAACTTTTCGGTATAATTGGAAAACCTCGTTTTTTTTAAATGTGGATTTTTGTGCAGACCTATTGTTCTAGGCACAGGGCAGTTCGTCAGTTGACGCTGTGCCCAGGCTGTGGGCACGGGGAGGGGGGGTATGACGTGTGTAGGGTGTAAGAGAATGAACAGAATCCCCAGGGGCCGCCCATGTGGGGGCACATTCAGGCAAAATGAGCGAATATTCACAAGAGCCCCTGCTTACTGGGAAACGGGGGACCACAGACAATGGCGCCTGGGGGGCCCCAGGGAGGACTCTGGGGCGGCTCAGTGCCTCTGGAGGGGACTCGGTGCCTCTGGGGGGGACTTAGTACCTGGTGGGGGCTCCGTGCCCGGGGGAGGAGTGGCTGGTTATTCTTTTGACTGCAGAAGTTGCCCGCCCCAGCGGGCCCCGTGGTACTGCAGCAGCAGGGTGCGAGAAGTCGGCGGCTTCTGGGGGGGGGGTCCCTTGGTGTGCTTAAGCCCCTGAGCCTTGAGGGCCTCGCCCCTTCCCCCTCGGTCCCCTCCTCCCTCCCCTCTCCCCCTTCCCCCGCCTCCAGGGCTCCCCGACCCTGCAGCCACCATCTCTGCCCTCCAGCCCCTGGGTGGTGCCGGCGCGCGGTGAGACTCTCCGCTACAGAGTCCGGCGGGGCCCCAGCCCGTGCGTCCTGCTCCTGGCGGCTCCTTCGCAGTCTCGGTTCCGGACCTGCGGGACAGAGAAGGGAACCCCGAGCCAGTGCCCCTTGTCCCGGGAGCTGCGGCTTCGTGGGGAGCAGATGTGGGGTTGGGGGGCGGGGGACCAGCCCTCAGGACAGGAGGGCCCGGGCCGGGGCAGGGCTGCGAGGGGAGCAGGGCCCAGGAAGGGGCAGGGAAGCAGCGGCCACAAAGGGGGAGGGTCAGATCGCGCAGGGGTTCGGGCGCTGCGGGCGTGTGCTGGGGGACCCCGCGTCCTCGGGCTGCACCCGTCTCCTCCCGGGCGTGTGGGCGGGCAGGGGTGGGTGGGTGGAGGGTGGCGGACGGGCAGGGAGGGGAAGGGGCCGGCGCGGGGATCGCCCCGCCTCAGCATCGCGAGGGAACAGATGCGCACTCCGCGCAGCCGCGCCCTCCCCGTCGGGCCCCGCTCCGGGGTCTTTGGGCGGCCTCCGCCGGGCGCGGCGAGTTCGGGCCGCTTCCTCTCGGCCGGAGACTCCCGTCCCGCAGCGGCGCGGGGGGGGCGGCGCGTGCCCGCGGGGGCGGGGCCTGGGGCCTGGGGCGGGGCCGGCGCGCGGACCAGAGAGGCGGAGGCACCGCCCCCAGGTCGCACAGCGGCCCTGGGCGCCCTCAGCCCGACAGGCGCGGCCCGCGCGCGCCCCAGCTGCGCCGTCCAGCCCTCGCCGGCCCCCCACCGCTGGGACGAACGATTCTCCCGCAAACGTCTGGGGCTCCCCAGTTGGAAAACGGGTGACGATCACAGACCCGCGCCGCGCCCCCGACTCCCCGTGGCCCTGCACGCTGGTCTCGCCACCAGCGGGACCCCAAGGGAGGCAGAATGGGGGCGCGCCGGGGCCCCCGTAGGAAGGAGGCGCCCAGGGGTGCCTGGGGACCGGCTCAGTGCGCAGCGACCCTCTCGCCCCGCCGCCCCCGCCTTCCCGTGCCCGCCGCGGGGTCTGTCCTGGGGACGGGGCGGCGCCCTCAGGAGCTGGACCCGCGGGGAGCGCGGCGTCTGTGCCTCGAGAAACGTCTCCCCGGGAGCCCCATGGTGGTCCGCGGCCCTCCACTGACGGGATGAGGCCACCGGCGGGCCGGGGTCGCCGCTCGGAGACGGACTGGCAGACGCGAGCGCAGCCGCCGCCGCCCACCCAGACCGAGCCCACTAGCGGGGCCGGAGCCCGAGCAGGCACGCGGGACCGCCCGGGCTGGGGGGGGGGCGGGCAGGAGAGGGGCTGGCAGGGCAGAGGAGGGCCGCGGGCGGGACCCCCCAGGCTCAGGAGGGCGGACAGGACAGCAGCGGGCGAGGACAGGGCGGCCACCTGGCTGCGGGGGGTGGGGGGAGGGGAAGCTCCGCCAAACTCTCCTTCGGACTTCAACGGCCGAGCCGCTGACCCACAGGCCCCCCGGGCCGCTCTCCTGCCCACGGGGTGGGTCCCCAGGGCGCCCGCAGCCGGGGCAGGCCTCGTTACTGCGGCTCCACGGCCCTCCCGGCGCGGCTCTCCCGCGGGCTCCGGGGCGCAGAGGCTGAAGCGGAGGCGGAGACGCGGGCAGGGCCGGCCCGGAGGGACACCGGGGCCACAGGTGCAGGTGACCCCTTGGGCTCACTTCCTGCTCTCGGGGGGCGGGCCTTGTGTGAGCGCCTGAACCCCGCCTCTGTGGGGCCCCCACACGGAAGGAACCCGCGCCGGGGGTGCGTGCGGCTGGGAGCAGGAGACGCGAGAGAGGCTGCAGGGAGGGGGGGACCCCAGCCACCACGTTCCCCCCCAGTCACCCCCCGCGTCGCCCGCCAGCCACCCCCGCGTCCCCACCTCTCCCCATCCCCCCTCACCGGCGGCCTGTTTCCGTCCTGGATGTCCCTCCACCGTAGGAAGCAAGACTCGTCCGCGTCCTGGATGCAGCCAGGCCGCGTCCTTGCACTGCCGCGCAACGGCCACTCGACGCAGTTGTGCACATCGTGTTCTCCTCACGCGAGGGGGAGGAGAGGACGTTTCCTTAACACTTCCTTCTGTGGCGGCGTGGCCGCATCGCGAGAATTCTCCACTTTCCACGCTCCGCGCTGACGTACGCCCCTTCCACGCCATTCAACCCCATTCCGTGTTCCCGCATCCGGCGTTGACATTCGACTTTGTATATATTGGCGGTTTCGATTGAGACCGTTTCAGATCCCTCTGCTGCAAATAAAGTGTTAGTGAACATTTGTACACATAAAGTGTTTTTTCTGAATTTGGAAACATTTCCTCAGGCCATTTCCAAAAATAAGACCGTGTCCATTGAAAATGTAAGTGTTTTGAATTCAAAGTCCCCTGCAGAGGCTGGTGACCTGATTTCTCAGGAACCGGAGGACAGACCTCGTCTCCGGCCGTCACTTCTCCCGTCCCGCGTCCCGGTGGAGCCCGCCGCCCTCCCCCGCGGGCGCGCGGCCTCAAGTGTCTCGGCTCCCGCCACCGTCCGGCGCGGCCAGCGGTGCTCTCAGTCCTCCGGCCGGCCCGTGAGCAGCCCTTTGCCGTCTGGCCCTTTAAGCGCGCCCTCGGCAGCACGTCATCACTCTGCGCCTCCCGGCATGCACCAGGCGGAACGTGAGTGGCCGCGCCAAGTCGGCTCCCGCGGGCAAATTAATAGAGCGAGTGGAGCGATGGTCGCCGCCTTGTGGACTGGGGGGTATCGTGGAAAAAATCGTGGGAAAAATCACTACCTGAAAGCCAGCTGGACTGGAAGTGGCCGCGCCAAGAGCGGCTCCCAGGGGCAACCTAAACGAGCGTGATGAGGCAGTGTCGCCCGCCTTGTGGACCGGGGTGGTATCGTGGGAAAATCGGCCCAACTCGCCATCGGACCGGAAGTTCGCGCTAAGGCGGCTCCTCCTGGCGCGAAATAAAGAGGCGAGAGGCGCGAGTGTCGCCGCCTTGTGGGCCGGGGTGGTATCGTGGGAAATCGAGAATCCCAGCGGGTAGTGAAGGCGCGGCGGCGGGCGGGTGTCGCCGCCTTGTGGCCCCGACGGGTAATGAGGGGAAACGCACAGTGACGACGGCAGGGGGATGGGTAAGGTCAACGGCCAGGTGGGGTGAGAAAGGTGGCGAGCAAGGCGGGAAACGGGAGGGAGGAACGAGGCAAAGGGGCCGAGCGCGGAATAATGAGCGGGCGGGCGGCGAATAAGGTGCAGAGACGTGTTTCAGGGCAATGGAAAGGGCGGTGCGGACCATGTGAAACAATAACGGGGCGGCGCCGCCTGGTGGCCCCAGTGGCGAGCCGGCACATCCCTGACCAGCGGCCCACGGGGAGGAGAGGCCCAGGGGCCGAGCCCGGGACCACGACGCGGGTCTGTGGGGCAGAGTCCAGTGGCGCGCCAGGAACAGCCATGGCGGCCCCTGGGCAGGGCGGGCCCGCGCAGAGGCAGGAGCAGCAGAGCCTGGTGGAATTTGTGTCCAGAGCCTTGAAGAAAACGGATAGACTCACGTGTGAGTGAGACTAGGCCATCTGTCCTCACCATTCCTGAGAAGTAAGTCCACAACCCCTCTGCAGGGAACTTTGACTTTAAAATACTTGAATTTTTAATGGAAATAGTAATTTTATTTTTGGAAATGACCTAAGGAAATGTTTTCAAATTCAGATAAAAATCTTTATGTGTAAAAATGTTCACCGACACTTTATTTTACAGTAAAATGATGTTGAAACTATCTAAATAAAAACCCCCAAAATATACAAAATTAAATATAAACACTGGATACATACAGTGACACTTAGTAGTTTTAATGCTGTGGTGAGCACTTACATTGCAGTGTTAAATGATGAAGTAGAATATAAAATTTTAGCGATGGATGTAAGCATCCTCTCCTTAACCCTTATGTGAGAGTAGAAGACAGTGTAAACAACACTGTACACCGAGTGGAATATTATACAGCAGTGCAAATAAAACCCTCAAGCTGCATCCAAAATGTGGACTAGTCTGGCCTTCATACTCTTGAGTGACATTCAAGACAGAAACAGAACATGAGTTAATTTATTTAAATATTAAATACCAGACAAAATTAAAATCACGTTGTAATGATACATGCAGTGATACATGCCGGGACCTGTAGTGAAGAGCAAAGAAAAAAATTAGTGACAGCCATATAGGGGCTTCCTTATGGAGGAAGATCATGATATGATGTCACTTACATTCCTTGACTTATTTAGTGAAGCTCATTTTATAATTCTCAAGCTACTACCCACCTTCTACACAGGCATTCTATTTCAAATTGCAAATATTGGGGGGAAAACTAGGAAGGAAACGTGCTAAGTCATCAGAGTACTTTTTGATACTGTTCATCCTAGTTTATTCTACTCTTCACATTTTCTGTAATATACACAACTCCCTATCATTATCAGGACCAGTAACAGAGCTGATGGAAACTCCATTGGTAAGCTACCTCCTTGCTCCTTGGCAGGGAAAAGTAGTTTTAAAAAGTCTTAAGAATTCCATGTGGT